AAGGGAAATCAGAGAGCAACGAAACATTTCATCGTCATTTGATTGACATGTTTACGCTCAGCGAGTACATTTCTTTCGGTTAGGAGTTTTCCCCGAGATTAATTCGTACATTTTATAAAACGAAACTTTATATAACAGTTTAAGGTAAACAAACCAATGAAAATTATGTCTGTAGTATGACTAATTCTGAATTTTCTAATTTCTTTGAGACATTTTATTTACAGGAGGTAAACAAAGCGAACAGAGCGAAGTTCGTATGTCACAATCAGGACTCATGGCATTGAGGTGCGCAGAATTCGAACACACTGGACACACTGGCATTGAATGACTATCCTTGAAGCCAAACTGTACAGTCAAACAATTTCATTCGAGTGCAAAACCAAAGAATAATGATGAAAGACATATATTTACATAATCAAGCTTCATTCAGTGTAGTGTAAGGTGGTTTTATTTGTTAATATCAAGAATTATGTTGACCGATAAAGTATGCTCGATTTCGACACATTTTCAAATTTTACAAAGTTTGCGCGCTTGTCATTTTTGTCAAATGGTAGATCAGAAAGATATTATTGGCGATTTATGTTGACTAATGTTAGTAGTTTATAGAAAAGTTAAAGTCATGTGCCAATCAAGTGCCACGATTTTGAAATAAGCTTTCGAAGTTGACATATTTTGAGACGATATCCTTTATCCGTTCAGGAGGGTCAATAACTGCGCTGTTTTCTATTTTATACCAAAGAATAATGATCTAAGTCATATCACCCGCGAAAATAGAAGGATAAGTCTATATTTCTGAGCAAAATTTTGAAATTTAGGTATGAATTTGATTTAAAAAATAGCGCTGAAAATATGTCGATATTGGCCTTCATTCGGAGTATCAAGTTGGTTACCAGTCGATCGAACATCAATCGCCCCCCAAAATAATTTAAAGGAAATTTGAGTAAAATGACATCGATTTTAGTTGCTCCCAAGGATAGATCTTCAAAATATTAGAGTATGAAAGAAATCTATTTTTGAGCCCCATACTGACCTGGAGGTTTTTACGGAGACAGCCTCTCAAGTAATAAGTACAAAGCATCCTTAAATAATACTTGAAGTAAAAAGTAAAAGTACTATTGTCTGTGGCGTGTAGGGGGAGGGGGGGGGGGACTTCTCCAATGGATTGACATACAAAAGACCCAAAATTAAACAGCACATGCATTGCATGCGGAACCTAGTATAACAATATTTCACGACATGGTCTACATTCCAGACCCCGGGTTGAGGATATACGAAATCCATTAAATAAATAATGCTTATAAGCAAGCCAGAAACAAGAGATCCCCTGTGTACGCATGTAGAGGTCATATTACCTATCCCAAAGGGGGGGGGGGGTCGCCAAAATAATTTTTCCGGAAAAATTTTTTTGGTACTTTTTGGCAGGGCATCACTGGTTTTGGCAGGGCAATTCTGCCAGACACCCCCCTAATTAAAAGGGGCTAGTTTCGCCCCTGGTATCGAATAGCTGTATCTATCTATATCTCTTAACGTCCCTTTGCTTTGGAATGTCGAGACCTCAACCATACCACGACATTTCTAATCGAATGTTTTTCATTAAGGGTTTCGTTAGGCCTATGTCACACAATAATGGTACTGGATTCTGCAGCTCAGTTAATTTGAGCGCTGCACCAAAATCGCATGGTCGCGGATTGGATTCCTGATAGAGGGCCTATATAGTTTGCATTTTTCGCAGCTGCTCTTGGTTAGGTCCAACTAGATATACAAAATTTACACTCGAAATTTCTATCTACAAAATCCTTCAACGTTGGCTCACAAACCTGTTTCTTTGCAGTAGCTCCTTACAAGATGATAACAGTTCTTGATTTGCTAAACAGAGTAAAATGAAATTCTCCTAACTATATTAGCCCATGACGTAATTTTTGAATTGTTATAGCGTACGTGTTGCATAAATATTCAGATTGTTAGTTAAATTAGGCCAACCCGGTATACTGTAATGAGTCCTTGTCGGTCGTGTAGTTATAATCTAATTAAGATTTTAAACCTTACTTGATGATGGTTTTTGTGTTGTCGACGTTATCTGAGGCGGAGTGCTTGTTGAAACTGGTTCTGGAGGTTTCTAGAAATTAATAAACAAAATGATAGTCTGCTTGAAGGATATTGATTCCCTTTCTATATTCGTGGGGCGAGTAATTTGAATCATGATATAAAATATTTTCTCGTTAATTCTCTGGTGTTTACTTTACCCACATGTATATATGGAATTATTTTGTAGAACATTCATAACATCATGGCGGCCATGTTGGAAGAATATTCATAACAACTGGTTACCATTACATGACACATTGTATAGTGCCTATATGTGGTTTAAAACGTTTTTGATCGTTAATACATGTAATTGCACTTTATAATATGTGCAGGTCAAAAAGAAAAATCAAGGCCCTGGCCGACTCTTCAAAAATGGCAATTTTCAATTTTCTTCTGAACATCTACCAGGAAATGTGTAAAATGTAACAAGTCAGTTATTCTATCTTATATCATATAAGTTATATGTATCGTATATCCTATCATGTATTTATCATTTATAGAACCGTCCGCTCGGGGAATTAATATATATTCGGCAATTCAAATTGTCCAATTAAAAAACAACATTTGTACCACATGACAATGTGATTTTTACGGTATTTCACTCAAATTCATGATTACGCAATGCAGCGTGAAATACTATAATATCCCACGGTAGATCCACCGTTGGATATTATAGTATACCACGCTCACGCGTGACGCGTGGACACCACGCTTTGAAACAATATGGCGTTCGCGAGCTGTTGTTTTTGATATTTTGTTTGTAATTTCGTACGTAAGATATATTGACTTAAGTTATAATCATAGATTTTCAAGACGTATGTTACCTTCAACGGTCCAAAGGATATATACTCAAATATTTTAAAGAGAAAACGTCAAAAACTCAGGTATGTACATAAGAAATCAAAAATTACATTCGCTTCAAGATTTAAAATTTATTCTGAACTTGGTGGGTTCTTTAACTTTCGGTATAATATATAATTTATAGACCCTCCGCTCGGGGGATTCGGCTATCCCTCAGTGATGATATTTTCCTCGGGGCAAAGCCCCTCGGAAAGTATCATCACTTCGGGAAATATTACACCGAATCCCCCTCGCTCCGGGTCTATAAATGATAAATATTTACCCGAAGTGATGATATTTTCCAAGGGGCTTTGCCCCGAGGGAAATATCATCACTGAGAATCACAAGAACCTAAAGAACCCGCCAAGTTGAGAATAAAGTTGCGGAATAGTTATACAAGCAATTTATACCTGACTTTTTGAATTTTGACGTTTCCCCTTGAACCTGTATCCTTCGGATCATTGAAGGTAACATACCTCTTAATACTCAAGTGAAAATCTTCCTGCGTTAAGGGACTTAAAACAAATTTTAGGTATCGAGGTGTTGTTGTTTTGTTCCGCAATATTTTTTCATTATGCTACGAGTGTGGCGAAAATTAACGGGTATACTACAGGATGTCTCCAAAGGGTATACCCTTTGAAATCAAGCATTTGTTGGAATTTGAATGCCATATTACTATCGGATCCCGAACCCACGGGTGCGTAAACAGAATAGAAGTGATATGACTAATGATTTGAAATGATTAGTAATTTGATAACTTTTTATGCAGTTGTGCTCTTTAATTCATACGATTAGAAGTTATTTTAAATGTCCAGGAGTAGAAAATCGTGTACTAAAGAAGACTAGGTATATTTTTTTACGCACACGCGAGGGTTCAGCATAGTAATAAGGCATTCAAATTCTAACAAAGGCTTGATTTCAAAGGGTTACTGTTTTTTGAGACACTGTATACTGTATACTGTAGAGCGTTTGCACTCATTCCCCAGGGACCTACTCGACAAAAGCCATGGCGGCCATGTTGGTGTTCCGGACAAAAGAGTCTAATTAAAATTATTTGAATTGGAACACCAACATGGCGGCTGTGACGTCATGTGCAAACGCTCTATAGGCTATAATGTAAATTGTAAATTTACGTTTAATAATTCATGTTTTTTTTGCATTGTTACTTGTCTGGCCAGTTACATAATGTCATATTGTATCAATATCCATTCGAGTTAGAGTGCTGTTTGTCATTTATTCGCCCGAGATAATTACATTAATTATGTTTTTAGTTTGATATAAATAAAACTAAAAGCGGTAAATTTAGGATTTGTTTTAAAACGGAATCAGTCATTAAAGCGGCTTGTTTTTATAGGCTATCGCTCTTGGTCTAAACAACTAAAGTAAATCATACATTTTCATCAATCCGATTTTCGAAATAAACTCTCCTAGAAACTCAATCTTTGCATTTCACATAGTTCAGCCTACTCTCCCACGCGATAAAGTGACTTGTGGTGTCACGTGACCAGGTGTCACGTCACCAGCCTACACCAGGATCTTTTGCTGGAGTGTGTTTGGGAGGGAAGCGAAAGTAGAGAGCCTGCCTTGCGAGGTTGAGTTCGCTCCACAATCCCTGACTGAACGCGAATATGAATTTTTTTTCATGTATATACAAGAACGGTTCATACTTACCCTATTAGGATCGAGTAATTGGAAGTGATCAAATTGGACGTCCTCGAGTAATAGGTCTGGTTTTTCTGAATGAACATCCCTGAGTAACTCACAATTTTTATCAGAATTTGAGGTTTTTCTGAAGTTAGTAGATCTACATGATGTGTCTTCGTTCAGACATAGCAAAACACATTGCACTCCAAAGTCAGCGTGAACATATTTTATCACTGTGGTGTTCAAACGGTGACCTTTAAGATTTTGAACAAATAATAGAAATAGAATCATTACTGTGCTGGAGTAAATTATAAATTAATTTGCGATGGAAGTTACAGTTTGGTGCATGAGGAAATCATAGATATCTTATAAATCATAGATATATTATAAGATATGTCGAGCACTTTTTTTGTCGAACACTTCTATCATGAGCCCCTGGCTCGGGTGATTGGGCAACCACACTCTGTGTCATTCGACATTAAATAAATTATTCTATTCTATTTTATTCTATATCTCTGGAGGGAATCCATCAATTGGCTGTAATAATACACTCAAGGCAAAAGAAATTGCAAGGGTATATAAAAAGGATTATATAAAAGTTTTAATAAAAGTGATGTTTCGTCTTAACTCAAGGCATCTTCAGACTAACAGTAAAATTACAATAACAAGGATTATGAATAATTAAGTTACTATGTTACAAAGTATTAAATTACAGAGACGTACAGAAAACAAGGAAATGAGAGTGAGGGGGTTGAGGATCGGAGTAGGAAGGCAGGAATGAGCAGGAAAAGAGGGACCGATCGCGAACTGCCTTGCTTGCTTAATTAGGAAGGCTTAAGTTTGGAAAATAGAATTTGGCCAGTGGTGTTGAGCCGGATTGTATTGATGATCGCGAATAACAGCTTCTATTGATGGCTTCAAAGTTATTTCTTCCTGCGCCAACTCTGATGAACTTCTAATTCGCGAAAGTCACTTAGTTTCAAAATTCAAGCCTTCCTTAAACAAGCAAGGCAGTTCTGTTTCTCTTTACCTGCCTTCCTACCATGATGCCCCCCACCTCCCCCACTCTCATTTCCTTCATAACCAATTCTGTGTCAAAATCTCTTTGAGATAACAATTAGATACCTTATGTTTCCTGTCATCTCTTGTATTTATAACAATAAAAATATTCCGAAAGGTAAAGAAGATTGGCATTTTGTCTGCGCGGTTAAAACGAAACTGGCTTCACTTTTTGGACACGAGTTCTCGCTCCAGAGATGTATGGAGTTCACTGGCGCGGAGCGACATGCGCGGGCACAAAACTTCAAGGCCAACCTTCTGCCCATTATTTATTTTGTGATGCAGTCTCAATCTTGTTCCCCGAGTATGCCCGTTCGCAGGTTAAGGGTGAGCATAGCGCTGGAGAAATCGAATGATTCAGGCCAGTGAGTGGCTATTCTCCTTGTATTTTTAGTAGTATTTTTTAAAATTTTTAGTTGTTTTCACTCGATTTAAGTGTAAAAAGTATCAAATTTTCGACGAGAAATTCTAAATACTTTGTTAATATTTTGCAACAATTGCCGAGCATGCGTGGGACTCTCGTCGGAAACCTAACGTGAATCAATTTGATTTCTCGAGAGCTATGCCCAACCCTTAACCTGCAAACCGGCACGCTTGAAAAACGATATATGAATCTATATCCCTTCTAGTTGTAATTGTGGCCAGTGTCATGTGAAAACAGTGCTTTCCGCGACACTCTGCCAAACCGACCACAAACTGCTCTTTTCGCGCGTGATACTCCGCCGATTTCGTTATATGTTGCAATTACACTGCATTCATGGGGTGTCCTTTATACTTCCTTTATTGAACCTCATGGACATTTAAGTTTATTTTGGTCTATTGTCGTTAATAAAAGGAGTCGTTCTCTGACCAAAAATAATTTATTTTGACGAGCTTTCGGCCACTAGACTGTAGGCTTCTACAGGTACATGACTAATGAAAACAGTGAGCTATATACTAACTTAGGTTGTGTTACATCATAGATTAGGAATTTTATTTGTGAGCTTAATTATTGTATTGTTTTGGTAATGGCTTTGAATCGTTATCCGCATCCTTAGTTATTTTCCGAGTTTTTTTGTCTATAGTTTGTAACTGGTCATACATAGGAGAAACGGGGGAGGGCGTTCGAAACAAGAAAAAAGAACATGTGAGCAATGTAAAGATTTATGCAAACAGTTCGAACATATAGCATCACATTCAGGGAAAAACGGACATTCAATTGATTTTGAAAAATGGGAAATTATTGACAAGGGAAACTATAGACTAAGAAAAACTCTGGAATCATGGCACATTACCAAATCAAAGCCATTACCCAAACAATACATTAAACTCACAAAGAAACGCCGCCTCCGCTAATTACTTTACTTATATCTCAATATTCGTAATTGAAATTCCTAATCTATTTTGTAACACAACCTAAGTTAGTATATATGCTCGCTATTTTCATTAGTCATGTACCTGTAGAAGGCCACAATCTAGTGGCGGAAAGCCGTCAAAATAAATTATTTTTGGTTGGTCGTTTTATCCAGTTACATAGTCATTGTTCCTCTTTTTGCTATCCTGATGCAATTTAGATATATATGGTTGCTATAGAGTATACGTAATTATACTTACTTAAAATACAAAACTATTGACACTTCATAAATTATTAACAATTGCAACTGTGCACAAACTTTTTAGGGACGCTAAACTAATAAGTAATAGCCTACTAAAGTATCTCATCTTGATAACGGCTGGATAAGCATGGTCTACTTCTTCGAAATGGAAACGATCATATAGATCCAGTTTATACAAATGTAACACGGAACGTTTTAAAAATAATTTGCTTCCGGTTATGACTGCCATAGATAATCATCAGGCATAATCATCTATTTTAGCTAAGTTAGTTAATTACAGTAATCGTAAATATAAAGTAATTCACCTCTCCGTGCGATTTTATATATATTGAAATGAATCAAAATCTTAATTGGCTACGTTTAGAATATTAGATGACTGAAATAAAAGTCGAAACGAAAATTAGAATGTCAATTTTCAACACGTATCAAATAATCTAATTTTTGTCAACGAGTCTATTTTTTGCGTTTATAGTAATTAAAATATAGCTATATGCAGGTCAATATCTGTTTTCGGATGTGTCACGCGATTTAACAGTGTCCGGCCTTGCTCAACCTTAAAGTCACTATATAATTTTCAACACGTTACATTCATGTCAATAATCAATATTCTAACAAAACATTGAAAATTTCACGCCTCTAAAAGGACATCAGTTTTTATTAACACTTGCAGTTTATCAAAACCTACCTTCCTTTGATGCGTCAAAACAAAAGTCGAGGTCTTCTCCAAAAGTTTGGAGATTCAGAAATATCAGCGACAAAAGAGTGAATCTCAGAGATACAGAAGCCAAACGACTAAATTGCACAGTCGATGAGAGCTTTGATCGCGACTCATTGCAAATTTGTTTTGCCCTTTTCCATTGAACAGGTAGCATCCTGATATTACTTATTTGTCTGTTCGCTTGGAGACAAACTCGTGAATGATTCAGTATCTTTTCAATGTTAACTACTTGGCAACAATGGATCTTTTCAACCAGAAGACTAGACTTGGATCAAGTCCGTCTGCATCCGTAGAGTGACTGATGAACAACATCATTATGTTTATGCAAATTTGCCACCTGTATGCTATAAAATTAATATAATTCAAAAATGTCATAACGTACCATCCTCGAACCCAGGGTGGAAAGTCCCTGCATAACGTACTTATTGACTGACAGCATGTAATAAAAATAGGTACGCTGTAGCGTACTTGGCGTCAACTGGATCAGAAGCAAAGAAAGATACTTAAAGCAGAGAAATAAACGAAATGACCATTTTATTAAAATAAAGATATGCTATTACATATCACCCAAATTTATAGGTTCCCATATATTTTACTTATCAAATATTTTAATTCCATAGCAAATTGGAACGTTGGTATAATATATCAATGTCCATGAAAAATGTTCATAATTTTTTTGCAATACAGTTTGCAGGTAATAAATTTTATTAATAGTATGCGGTATCTCTTCGAACTTTTTTGTGTTCCACTGTTCTGATGTGCAAGATTTCTTTGTTTTACTGTTAATCCAATAAACAAAATTTCTTTGTTCCACTGCTCAGGTAAATAAGTTCTGACTAGAACATGACGGCGTAATGATGTTCCGGCGTGATCGTGGACGTGACGTAAACAATGAACGAGCGATTTGGTTTGTCCTGGGAAGGAAAGACGTGCTAAAAATTGCTCAAACAAAAACATGCAAAATTCAGAATCGAGCTTCACTCAAGGCTATAGAATTAGCCTTTTGCGTGGCATATCAACGAACGACAAAGGCAAACTGATATTGGCCGATTCGCTAGAATCGTTGAAGCTGTTTGTCGAAGAAGTTTTGAATATCGCTAACGGTATTTGGATTTGTCCTAGCGGCGAGGCGAAGCAATTTAAGAACAAAGGCTTAGCCATTCGCTGGTATCCTACGACAAAATCAATCACTGTGACTGAAAATCTAGAGAACGAAATCAAAGAAAGGCTTCATTCCCTAGCTTCTATATCAAAACAACTGCTGATAAATGCTGAAAATAATGAAGAAATTCCAGACCAAGACGATCATAACGATAAGAATACAAATCGTTCTTTTGTAAAAGACGACCCGGCAATATCCCTAAGGTTACTTCAAGAGCTCAGCTCAGAGTCCTTTACTAATACAGCTGCTAAGTCAGTTATAGATCACAGTACATCAGATAACGTTGTTGCCGCAGATAAGAATACGAATATTGAACATGAAAAACAAGGGGAAGCCATTTTGCATACTGAACGTACAAACCAAGATAAATCGACCATGAAATCGTTAAATGGAAATGTGCTTAACATGCCCACTAATCTACATAAAGTTTCTAATGAATGCGGAGAGCACGTATTGTAAACAAAACTAATCCCCCGAGAGACACATACAATAAATATAAATGGGACTCTGAAATTAGTGTATTCAAAGCCAAATTTGAGAAGTTCAGTCAAAGCGTAACGAATAAGTTAGAAGATATTTCCTTTGAAGTAAACAACATCAAAGAGAACAAACCGTATTCTATCTTAGTATTGGAAAATACAGTTAATGATTTAAAACAAGAGAAGCATGAGTTGAACAAGAAGAGTCATTAAATATGACTATATGTCTCATACCATATCGGACTTGAGATTAGCTAATAAGAACCTTGAAAGTGAAA